AAGGCTCTCCAGCATCACCGCAGACCTTGTCTCGATGGAGAGTTCAAGCCATCTCCCTGGCTTATGAGCTCGCAGGGAAAGAACCTCCTGACACCATTAAGGCCCACTCCACAAGAGCTATGGCTGCCTCAGCTGCATTTCAGATGGCATGGATATTTCCAACATCTGTCAGGCGGCCACATGGTCCAATCCATCCGCCATCACCTCACACTACAGACTGGATGTTCGAGCAAAGAATGATGCCCGGTTTGGGAAAGCTATATTGACATCCTTTCTTCAGTGACAGCCCACCAACCGGTAAGTGAGCTTGCTAGTCACCCAATTGTGTGCATTCACAGAGGCCACAAAGAAGAAAGAGAGGTTAACTGCCTGTAACCATAATTCTTCAAGTGGTCCTCTGTGAATCCACACATCCCGCCCATCCTCTGCTCTGTCCGACACTCAGTTGTCTTTATCTAACCTTTTTGACAGCGGCAGACTTTGGGAACTCAGAGGACCTTGGGCGGGCAAAGCATACACTCCATGGGCAAATGTCTTACTAACCACGTGTTTTTAAGCTCTAGAAACTTCGGAGACGTCCTGCGCAGGTGCAGAACAGCCCATTTGTATGGATTTATAGAAGACCACTCGAAGAACCATGGTTATAGGTAGGTAATCTCTCTCTCTCTCTTTTTTCATATCCATGTCTGTTGATAGGCCTTTTGTCCACTAGCTGTTTATAATATAAGTTCTGATGGCCAGGGATAATCCAGTAGCAGCTTTAAAGCCCTAACTTTGCATGAAGAGTGTGTGTGGCCTCTCCCTGTGCCACTACTGCAAGTCGTTGCATTTCCATAGCATGGCTGCAATTACTGTCTAATGCATCAGCAAGTTACCAAGTAACTTTGGCTTGAAGTCATCTGAATTCACTCCGTAGCATTTGTAATTAAAATTTTTTTTAATCATGGGAAATAATATGTTGACAAATAAAAATAGATATGTATATTATATAATTTTATTTTGTTCAGTACTTGAAGCAGAGGGAATGATTCCTAGTTACTTTTCCCTAGTACAATTACTGTAAAATTACTGTACAATTACTGAGAGAGTAAACGTGAGGCACGTGAATGTCGACTTGAATGTGTTCCTTTCTAGTACATGGCTGTATAACTTGAAGGCCTCCCAGTACTGTATCAGAAGTACATCTGGGCTTGTTTAGAAATCCCTGATGACTTTTTATGTGAAATAAAGATCTCTTCACTCTTTCTTCATTCAATAAATTGCATACCTACTCCAAATGGACTTTGGGGATCAAGAAGTGTATGGTTACCCATCAAATTCCATCTGTATTATTTTGGCAGTAGGTTATGAAATACATTTTCTGGTTTAGTGGCTGCTTAATGACAAAATATTTGAATTCCCTTTCGTTTGGTTTTGGGGGCACACTTTTTAATAGCATGATACGGTAGAGAAATCTAAATATATATACAGTATATGAATTTCTTTTGCATGAGGCTTTGATCAGTTGCTGGCTCAGATTGCTGTAGGTTAGGTATACCTCCTGTTTCCAATATTTTTCTTTTTGACCTCTTACTAGTTTTTTAAAGGAACTATTTCCACGTCTTTTTGTCACAATGTCACGGAGGCATAGAGGAGGCTGAGAGAGATTAACTGGCCCAAGGTCAATTTAATGTACAGTCGTGCCTCGCTTTACAATTGCCCCACATTACGACGAAACTGCATTACGACGATCTTTTTGTGATTGCAATTGCGGTCGCAAAACGATGGTCTAAATGGGTTTTTTTCGCTTTGCGATGATCGGTTCCCTGCTTCGGGAACCGATTCTTCACAAAACGCGATTTTAAAACAGCTGATCGGCGGTTTCAAAATGGCCCCTGGGTAAACAAAATGGCTCCTCGCTGTTTTCTGGGACAGATTCCTTGCAAGACAGGCAGCAAAAACGACTGCCCTATGGAGGATCTTCGCTGGACAGTGAGTTTTGACCCCACTGGAACTCATTGAAGGGGGTTCAATGTGTTTCAATGGTTCCCCCCCGCTTTACGATGTTTTTGCTTAACGGCGATTTTCCTGGAATGGATTATCGCCGTTAAGTGAGGCACCACTGTATTTTGTCACTCAGTGTGTATTAGGACTTGGATCGGTTGAATCCCAGCCCAGCACCCTGATCATTTATCACACTGGCTCTGTTGTGCACTTGTGTACTAATATCCCATCCAGCCAAGACTGTCCAGGTATATGCTGAGAATAATACCTCTTCTTCTTCTTCAGATAACTTTAAGAAAATATTTATGTACAACGTTAGGAATTTAAGTTGTGACTGTGTTACTAGCTTTCCTCTGCGTCAGATAAGCAGTTTTGCTTTCCATATTTTTGTTTATCTTTAAGCTAATTAGATGGGGTTATTGGCACAGATTTTTAGCCTTATCACAGATTTGATAAACTGTAATATTGAGTTAGTATTAAAATTATGCAGATCTTAGAAAACAAAGAGGTAACTGGTGGGTTAGTCCTAGGCCTCAATAACTTCTTAACCCTACTTATCAAATAACAGGACTCAATTCTAGGGATCACCCTCTTACGCGTCTTGGATGCCTTTTTTTGCACAAGCAAAGGATTTTAAGCCTGTACCCCTCCCATGTGAGCAAGACCAGATATTTTGACAGAATGCTCCTCTGAGTTGATCTCATTCCCATGATTCATTTGCATGGCAATGAGGGCATACAGGCAAAGGGGACAGACAAGAAGGGTACATATAAGTGTGTAAGTCATTTGCAAAGGCATAACATAAAACTATTGTCAGACTTTCCATTGGTTTCATGGGAAAGTTAGACAGGAGGATCTTAAATCTTTTACATTCTGCATGCCGTGTAAAATGAAGCGATAGAATTCTAGAACGTGCCACTTCCTCAAATTATTTTTTTTACATATGGGAGCATTCAGAAATACAACTTCCATTTACATAGAGTCCACAGAGCAACTTCCATCAAATGTGCAGTTCTTTTTCTGGAAGAGTGAAGGCACTGGTTAAAAAAATGATAATTGGTTATAATATATAAAATAAATGCAAATCCAAAAGCAATTATTTTAAACTATATGCAGGATCTGTGATATATAGAATAGTCAGTGTGTGTTATTTAGGCCAATGTTTTCTTTTTTGTGTGTGTCATTTTAGTTTTGATCTTTTTTTAAAAAAACTGTTTAAAAAGAAAGACTATAATGTTGCTTCTACTGTTGCAAAGAATAATGTTTGACAAGTTGACTCTCATTGCCTGTCACCACATTATTAGTAACTTGAATCAGTAGCTCATATACAGTATGAATGTGAGTGGTGACAATAGGGTTATAATAAGGTGACAATTCGATTAACAGCTCTGTTGTTTTAGGCCAGGAAATGGGTAAAACAGCACTTTTGTTTAATCTAGTGTTACTGACTCTTTAACCTTGCTTGGTAGCAGTGTTAGGATCTCAGATTCTGTGGTCAGCAACTAATGTTAACAGGCTAAAGTTTGATTTAATCCGCAAGTAACTAAGTAAGAGAGTGAAACAGATGCTTTTGGATGCCAATTAAATATTGTGGTTTAATTGAAGCAAAGATCCTCTTTTAACCTTTTACAGACTGAAAGTCAGAAACATATGCATCACAAGAGTTGCTTGGGAAAGGATTTTTATTATCTAATTTACTTAAAATATTTACAGCCGCTTTTCTCCTCAAGAAGAGTACGGTACAGTACTTTTAAAGTGCTCTATACATAAAGTGCTCTATACATAAAGTGCTCTGTACAAACAGTGAAGAATCTTAATAGCATTATACCAAAGAACTGTAATTTAGGGGGAGGAGGAAACTCTGAAAAATAAATTGGTTTGTAGTCTAAAGCCAGAATAAGTTGGCTAGATGTGAGCATGCAGAATACTAGCTCAGAACTGCTATGCCATATTATTCTTTAGGAGATAGATGCTTCTAAAATTGTGATAACAAAAGTGATTCTTCTTGCTTCAGGTGTTGCATACCGATATAACACGGGATAATTAGTTTTTGTTCAAGGTCACATCTAGTTTTATCGTGTGTTTAAAAATATGGTGGTAACAGATTGAAGAACTATGTCAGGTTATCTCTAACACAATCCAAGGAATAATTAACCACCTAGAGTTCAAGAGAGCTCCCTCTGTTCTAGAGAATGTGTGATTTTAGCCACTGGGTTCTTTTCCCTTGTCTTCTGTCTCTGTTTATCTCATACTTTTTCATGCAATTTGATATTTGTGTGTGTTTATTCTTGGATGAAATTATTTTAAGAGCATGATGTTGAGGTGAGTGAAACTTACCGTATTTGGTCTAATATAAACTAGATGCTGCTATAAAACGTCCTGGTTTTGTTCTTTAATTCATGTTAATTATCATTAGTGTTAAATGCTCTATATAGGAATGATTGAAATAATGTAATAGCTGAGGTTTTTTTTTTGAGTAGACTCGTGCCTCGCAAGACAAATTTAATTTGTTCCGCGGTTAATGTTTTCTTGCGAAAAATTCCTCTTGTGAAATGCGTTTTCCCATAGGAATGCATTGAAATCTAATTAATGTGTTCCTATGGGTAAAAAAAGTCAGAACAAAGTCAAATTTGGTTTACAAAGGGTTTATTAAGTGCTCTTTAAAGCCATACATATCGTGCAGATGATTTTAAAAATTTCAATCAAAAAAGTTAACTTTTTAAACATCATAGAAAAACATTTAAAAATCAGCAAACATGAGGCAGGAACAAAAAACAGAAAACGTTCTTCCTGCGAAGCACGGCCATAGGAACATTTGTCTTGCCAGTCATCAACCAAAACCATTTGTCTTGTGATTTTTTTGTCTTGCGAGGTGCCACTGTATTTGCAGTATTGTTTGTCTTACAGTTCTGTCTACTGATTAATAAAATGACCAGTTATTTTGGCAACAGTCTCTAGCTATTATCTGAGAACAGCAGTCTATTCCTTATTCACTAACTGTGTGTCATTTATTAAAGGATGATGTGATGATGCCCCAGAGAATAAGGCTGCAATGGGAAGCTGCTATTCAGCATCCAAAATGTGTGAGTATTTCACTTTATCTCTCTTTTTTGGCATATTCCACCTCTGCAGTTATGGTGATAATATTTTATTTATTTATTTATTTGATTTATACCCCGCCTATCTGGTCCAAACGGACCACTCTGTGGTCACTTTGTCTCTCTTTTTTGGCATATTCCACCTCTGCAGTTTTAAGATGGTGATAATTATGATACCATTCCTTTTAACAGGAGGACTTGAATGATATTACAGTACATTATAGTAGAAAATGTTATGTTGCTGGTACGTAGGTGATGGTGGTGGTGATATTCAAATTCATAACTGATTTTTAAAGAAAATGTTTCTGGAGCTTCTTCTGAAGTAGCTTCTCTTGCTGGCTATCTTGCCTCAAAGTTTTGTGTTACACAGCCTCCACTAAAAGCCCGTTGATTAAAAAAGTAGTATACAGTACTTAATGGAAGTGGGGGGGGGAAGTGATCACTGTGGTTAATGAAGGAGTTTATGTTTCATCAGTATAGTAGCCTTTTGAAAGCATTAACAAATAATGCTAACTTAGTATTCATAGTGTTTTTCTTAATTGCTTTGTATATATTATTTCATTGTTATTTACCAAGCTCTTTAAGATAATTAGGAAAAAGCAATGTGGTTCAGAATTACACAAATGCAAGAGTAGGGTGAGACTTTATTGAACTACTAAAGTGGGATATTTATCCATGAAAGTTTGCAATTTGTGTCACTTTTTAGTGGTTCAATAGTAATAGTAATAGTAATAGTAATAGTAATAGTAATAGTAATAGTAATAGTACTACTACTACTACTACTACTACTACTACTA